ATTCAAACCAATGCAACTCTCCTGACCTCTATAGCAACAAACAACCGCGATCGTCGGTAGAGGATTTCCTAGATCATATAGCAGCTTACGAGGTCAACTGGTCTTCTAAGACATTCCATATCTCTCTCAATGCGAGTACTAGACTCAAGCCAGGATCATGAGAAGAATTGGAAGTAAGACAGCAGTTCATGGATAAAGGGACTCACACCATTCACAACCAAGGACTCATTGTACCGGGGTGCTCTTTCACTTCATTTCACAGTTGGAACGCCTTTTTTGCACTTTCATTTTACATTTCTTTCTTTTTTCATTCACTTGGCGGGGGTTCCAACTGCAGTCTTTTGCATGGTCGACCCTTATTAGTCGAGAAAGAGCAATTTCTGTACATCAGGCGCTCCCCATGATACTTCTTTTAACTCCTTTTCCTCAACTCGTGTGGAGGGTCAATGAAATTAAGGGGGGTCGGAAGCTCTATCCGTGCCCTTAAAAACACATCCTCGAGTAGATAAACCGTTCAACGGGTGAAAATTTTACTTGTACTAGAGACAGCTTAGCTTCACCTTGTAGGAGTACCCCACTAAGGATCACTAAAATCTCTTCCAAAACCTGATTTTGTGCAATGAACGGTGCCACACACATTGGGCTTACCCCATGTTTAAGATTTCAATGATTTCGACATGGAGGACTAACTGCTTTTCATTTCCCACATGAGCACCCTGTTCGATACACGAGTCCATAACACAATCCAATCAGAGTCACCATTACCACATGAATTCAACGGTCTTAGCTCCACTAATTCACAAAATCAACTGGCACAATAGAGAGCTAGATAGGAAAAATCTTATACTTCAACATCCTCCATAGTGCTACACTACCTCCCTAGGTTGAACATTACTATAGAGACTGTCAATTCAAAGCATACTAAGCAGGCAATTTGCAAGGAAACACGTACTTGGAGCCCTCAAATTCAAAAATTTGGACACTGGACTAGGCTCGAAGCACACAAGCAGCCAAACATTTACCCACATACATAATCGAAATCCCCCCACATTTAAGCACGACATTGTCCTCAATGGAGGAAAGATAAGGAGGGTAGAACGAAGTTACCAGATCAAGGGTGAATGATGGTGGACGGGGCAGGCGGTGTATTCCAGGAGGAGAGAGTAGTCGGAACACAAACACCACAAAAAATCTCACAAAGGTTGAGTTATTGACTCTAAAATCAAAGAACAAAACTGACTCAACCAAAGAGAAATAGGGAAAGAAATGCAAACCGACTGGTTGGGTTGCCTCCCAACAACCGCTTCTTTCACGTCGCGAGCCAGACGATGGCTCCTAAGTTTCGGTCCACCCCAAAACCTCCTTGAAGTTGAGGTTCTCGTCAATGAGGTGGAGTCTCAAGTTACGAGCATGTGGTATGACAGGTGATGGAAGCTCGTGCACTTGATGCGGATGAAGTCTCCACCCTCAAGACCTCTTCTTCTCTTCTCTCGTCTCATTGCCCCAAACTAGATATTGCAACATCAATTGACCACCATCGCGTCCACCAAGAGGGACCGATGTCGATGTGGCCTTGGTCTGGCAAAGAGACACTGCAAATGGGTCCTTGCTAGTTCCTCGAAGTTTGGTGGAGATATCACATGTAACTCATGCCCGGTGCAAGCCTCTTACACCTCAACTTCGTCCTCGTCCTGGACGCCAATTGCTTCTTCAACCCCCTTCCTTCTTCATGTGGTATCACCCTTGGGAAATGATCAAGAACTCCATCTGCTTTACTTTCGTCATCCTCCACAACTTCTTCCTGCACCCTTTCTTGCACTTCTTCTCCCAGCACGGATTAGAGGGCAAGTCGCCAAGCAATTTCTTTGATGAGATCATCTTGCATCTCCTCACTCATGCCCGCCTCTTCATAGCTCAGTTTGGGATGTGGGAAGGTGTGGTCGGCTACGACAGAACATTCCTGATCATGATCATCACGAGAGCTCTCCGTGACAACTTCTGTGTGCTCCACAATGTCCTTGTAGTCGTCTTCTTCCTCCTCCTTTTCTAGTATGGTAGCAGAAGGGTGATCTGGAGTAGGTTGTGCATAAGATCGCTCAAGATCATCGAGGCTCTTCTTAATGCTCAAGATCATCCTAGAGCATGATCTCTCACTGTCTCGAGCAAACAGCTCCATGAGAAGCCTCAATTTATAGTTTGGATCTAGCTGTGGAGTGTAGCATGGCTCTGCAGAATGGCCCGTGAAGGCCGCCATGGGTAACTCCAGCTCTGATGGCCCTTCTGGTTGTGGGAGAAATTCTTCTTGGTAATGAGGTTGTTCTTGATATGCCTAGGGGTCTGATTGTTCTTCGTAGTAAGGGGTTGGTACTGGAACCCGAATCCATAGTTTTCTCCTCCTTGATTGCTCTAGGGAGTCTCGGGGTAATACCACTCGGATGGTGGTGGATACCCCCAATGGTTAGAGAAGCCATGCGGATCCATGATTCAGATCTGCACCAACAAAAACAAAAACACCCAAGTGAAAAGCAAGGGTGGAAAAGAAAAGAAAAACGCTAAAATAACAAACTTCTGCCTTTCCTAATAATCTAGAAAATCCCCGGCAACGACGCCAAAAACTTGACTCGCTATGACACAACTCCTAACAATGGCCAAGTGTAACCAATGAAAGGGACTGCAGTATAGTGGCTCAAGTAATAAATATTGAATCCACAGGTCTCTAGAGTTACTATTACTCAGCTTCAGTTCATTATCTAGCAACCCAGATTAAGATGGAAGAACTAAAACTACTCTAACAAACTACAGTTAAAGTTAATCTAATTACAGGTTGGGAACTCACTTAGGTATGATTCCCCCTAGCCACTAGCCAAATTAATGATTGATGGTCTCCAAATTGTTTCACTTTCATTCACAATGCGGAGAATCCTTAACTAGACCTTGAATCTCGACTAAAGGATCAAGGCCCTCTTGAGTCAATTTCCTAGAGGGACGTATCCTTCTCTAGAACAACCGATCAAGGCATTCTGAACTAGATTCCCTCTATCGAATGAGGTTCTCAATTGATACAAAGCATTGAATCAACCATCGACTAAAGCAATCGATCCAATACTATCAATCTATGGTGCTCTATTGACCTAATCAGTTATTCGCTCTCATAGGATCAAAGCAGAATCAATAATCTCGACTAAAGCATAATTGAATCATGAAAACGTGCATAGATTGAATATGAACTCAAGATTATAAGGTAGGAGTACTCATACAATCATCCAATCAAACAAACATAGCTAGGGTTCCTCCAAACCTAAGTGAAGGGAAGTTACTCCATAGAGAAGAGAGAGAATGCAGTAAGAATCTTCAGATGATCCGTCTTCAAGTCCGGGCTTGTTCCTCGAGCTTCCAAGGCGAAGAAATCCTCCAATTCAACTCCAAGAATGCCCTCAAATCGCCCTCTCTCTCTTTGGTTCGTCCCTAGGGTGTTTGGGATCCAAAAACCCAGCTCTCCCCTTTGCAAAAACGCACAAAACAGGCTTTAACAGCCTGCGTTCGTGATCCCCGGTCAGAATACCCGGTCGGGTATTTTAGGTGGCGACCGGGGATTGTTGAAACGCACCGTCGAGGACAGGGGATTAATCCCCGACCAAGGTCAAGAATACCCGACCGGGGATTTATGCTCAATGCCTGGGCCCCCTTCTGCTTCTCAAATGCCCAAAAGAAAATTTCCCCAGTCTGCTCTGATTAATACCCGGCGGGGTATTTTTGCTCATGGCCGGGTATTTTGCTCCTCCAGCACACTTCAACTCAAACATGCTCCTTTCGACCCGAAAATCGGCTTAAAACACGGGAATCAACATCTCAAACGACTCAAGAATAGTGGTAAAAACATGTGCAATCAATGGTCTATCAATAGGATTATCTGACTTGTGCAGGCTGGTGAGAAGGAGTTGATGTGTCAAATTATTTTTTTTGTTGACATTGCCTTATTAGTTATTATATTTGTAGATGAAGGGGCTGTTTGAAAGTTGTGATTGTTTAATAGATGTATAATTGTGAATGCATGTATAATATTAGACATGTATTGTCGAATTCGATGCATTGTAAAATACAATATTTGGTATGTGTGATTGTTTATATCACATTAGTTAAAAACTGAGATAAAACAATCTCAACTCAACTATCTCAACAATCTCAGCTAAAAGTTGAGATATAACAATAACTCATTTTGAATGATAGTTTTTGTCACATCACAGAAACCGGGTATTGTGTCTACTAAAAACTAAAAAAATGATGCATGTCTTCTGGGTTAAGGGAGGCCGTGAACGGACGAAGAGAAGTGTAAGGGGTGCTTGCTCTCTGCCGACTTGCTGCTGCTGGTCTGGATTCGTTTCGAATTCGTAGAGGGACCAGTGATCTCTTGCCGATGCTGCTTGATTTCGTGTGGATCTAGGTGATGCAGATTCAGATTTGCTAGACGAGGGAAGTTGAAAGAGAAAGAGAGGATCGATGGATTCAAGGTGGGTTTGGGGAAAAAGGACACGATCTGGTCTTAGATTGGGGAAGATGGTGATGGGTACAGGCGGCGAGATTTTCAGATTCAGAAAAAAGAAGCACTTTTGGAGTTGGGAGGTGCTGGGGAGTGGGGTGAGGATTAGTCTAGGCTAGCAAGAGTATAAGAGATCAGTCAATCGGTTCGGTCAATCAGACTTCAAATCGGTTTGTTCTGAATCGAATTTCGAAATAGCCCAACAGACTTCCGAATTTTGAGCCGAAGATGAAAGAGTTTGGATTGGGGTTGATACCGATTTGGTCCGGTTCGATTTTGGTTTCCCGAACCTAATGCCCACATGTTTGTGATCTTCTTAGTTCTCATCTTTGGATCGGCCCATGACACACTCTCACACCCCTTGACTAACAATATCGCCCGCTTAACCCAAGTTTTAATTGGATTGTTAGTGACAAGGCAGTTAGTTGGGCTTCTCGCTGCGGCCCAGAGTTGAAAGTGAGTGATGACCTGTCTTTTATTGATTGGAAACGACGTGCGAAAGTGGCCGATTTCACCGTATCTGTTTCTGCGGTTGCTGCATTTAGAATTCAGAATTGGATCTGATTCAAGCTTGGAATTCCAGAATTACGGCCATCTCTCGCCCGCCCGTTCAGATTCCGGTGGAGCTGGTGCAAAAGCTGCACCGTACTTAGGAGGAGAAGCAAAAAGGATGGCCGCCATCGCAGTTCACCAGTTTGCACAGTCCATCACTTGCCACGCTTGGAGTCCCGACCGCTCTAGTAAGTAAATGATTTCTTGCGGCTTTCTCCGTGATTTCGTTCTGGCGAAATTGCGTCTGGATTCTCAGAAACAATAAGCAAATCTGGTTAGCCTTTGCTGATTGGAGGTCTTTGAATTAGACCTGGTGTTCTCCTACATTTCCATATTTTGATGTATGAATTTTCCTTGCCATTTACAGTGATCGCAATTTGTCCAAACAATAACGAAGTGCATATCTATAGATTGAGCCAGGAAAAGTGGGAGAAAGTCCATGTCCTCCAAAAGGTAAATGTTCTCTTTTAGCTCTAACGATTGTTGGGGCGTCGAAGCTTCTAGGGATTCAGAGTCTTTATCTTTTTATATTTTGACGATGGAAATGAGTCGAAGGTCATGCGACGAGAAGGGATGGGATAACTTCCGATTATTCTGTTGTAAGTAATGGATGATTATCGAGGACGAAAACATCGTAACAGAAGGAGGGTAGTGTTCACATTGACAAGACTTGTACAGATTCAGGCAAGGGAGAACAAAATACATAAATGCAGCTAGATTCGAGTTGAAAGCTCCATTGCCTGTAGCTTTAAAAGAGCTTGAGCCAAAATGACCATATGGCGGGAGGCTTTCTGGCCTTCTCCGATTGTACTGTCAACTAAGTAGAAACTCGTCCAGTTTCTGGCAGCAGCTGAAGATCTTGGCTGTTGTCCACCAAAAGCGGCAAGACCTGGTTTCCCATGCATAAATTCCAGATCTTTGATATAAATAAGGAATCTTGTTACTCATGCGATTTATCTCATGTGAACAATATCTCTTAGAAGGAGTCTTTTTCTTCAATAACAAGCAGCTTTTGGAGCCATTTGGATTACTTCTGTAACCCTGCATTGATGGATAATGCATTAATGCTTGGACTATTATGGTCCAATTGGGCATTGAGTAACTTTATAGAGCCTTGGATGTTGTGTAATTGTCCAGTTGATTGTTTACCTTTCTCAGTCAGATGTTGATTCGTAATTCTAGCTGTGAGTTGCCAAAGTTTTTGGCTTCTAGTCTGGGTAGGGGTTTTGGTGGTTGGTTTGCAAAAGCTTCTTCCCCTCTGAATCCTGTCCTGAATGTGTGACTGATGGTTGTTAGCTACCAAAATGTATCTTAACATGCAGATGCCTATTGTTTCCGGTTGCAGCATGACCAAATTATATCTGGAATAGATTGGAGTGTGAAGTCTAACAAAATTGTGACCGCGTCTCATGACCGGAATTCGTGAGTGCACTCGCTCGCTCTCGCTCACTTTTAGATTTATCATGCGGTATCATTTTTCTTCTGCTACTGGTTGGTCACGACTTTATTTGTTGTTTCTCTTGAAGATATGTATGGAACCATGAAGGGTCAGAATGGTTACCAACCCTCGTTATCCTTAGACTCAACCGTGCTGCACTATGTGTACAGTGGAGTCCTAAAGGTACTGAATCTTGATTGATGTCATAAGTTTTGTTGGATCTATGCTGCACAACGGCTTAATTTATGTGAGTAGACAATTGTAGAATGGAATTTATTGAAGCTCCTTCATGTGCATAGACAATTGTAGAATGGAATTTACGTGAGTGAATTTAGAGCTTGTGTTTGTTCTCCCTGTTATGTATGGATACAGTAATACCCGGTCTTTGAATAAAAGGCAATATGAGCTTTGACTTTCACCTGTGGAGTTAAGCTTGTTAAGAGCTGCTCTCATTTTTGTTTTTATAGGTTAATTGGGTTCACGGTCTCAGCCGAACTCCTTATGAACATAAACAACGAAGATTGATGAATTCTGTAATTTGTCTTATCTGAAGTAAAAGCTTTGGATTTAGAAAAAGCAGCTGCATCAACTTGAGCCTAATTTTCTGTTTCCTGAGTAGGATGTTATAAATATTATATTTTTTTGGGAACACATTTTTTATATACAGGCTAATTGCTTTTTAATTGTTTTCAGAGAACAAATTTGCTGTTGGAAGTGGGGCAAAAACTGTTTGTATATGCTACTATGAGCAAGACAATAATTGGTAATCACCTATCTTTTGATTACCACGTTTTTCATGTTTTCATACTTATTCTTCATATTGTGAGCCCTGTTGTCACACACTCTGAAATATGTTCTTTTTGCATATTGTTCGATGTATAATAGTAGTTTGTCCAGACTACTAATATGCTGAGTTTTGCCACTTGCTGAATAAATGTGGGTTTACCTTCCTTTCCTATTGCCATTTATTTGAATTAGAAGGACATGGATTTAAGTACAAATACAAAGATAAATGGAGCTGAAAGTTTTGAATACACTTGAAAGACACATTGTTTCGTTTTTTGTTTGGGTGGGTGAAATCTGATGTGATGTGACCAGGGTAGCGACTGCATTTTCCTTGCACTTATTGAAGAGATGACCAACTACATATTCATTAGTGACCTATGTAGCTGATCCTTTTATTAACAAAGCTAACTTACTATCTATTTAGAGTCCATGGTCTAGCAAGTATATTGTTTTGTTTTTGTCCTAACTCATTGGTTCATCTATTTTTGTTTGCTTGATACACTACACTACTCACAGGTGGGTCAGTAAACTTATCAGAAAAAGACATGAGTCCTCTGTCACAAGTGTCGCTTGGCATCCTAACAATGTGCGTGCTTTCTTCTCTCTTCTTATTAGTTTATGCTTTAAGGATGTGGAATTGCTGATCATTGAAGTCATTGATTATTGACCTATTTCTGTCGGATATATGCTTTCAGCCCTTAAACCGGCCATGTCCATGGGGTTTTATTTGTGAGATTCGTGAAAAGGAAGGACTCCTATTTCTGAGTTAATTATTATTTGAATCGCAATACTAAAGCTTTGCAATAACTGGCCTTGCACGGCAGTATGTTGTGCAGGTTCTAAGAATTTTCCGTCACCATCTTTAATGATTAACAAATTCCAGAATTTTTTGATTGTCTTTGCTTAAACCTTAAAATCATTGAATGTAGTGTTAAAAGGGGAACCCATGGTTTTTGGATGAATATCTTCTAGATAAATTTACATTGTGATGGACAGTTAATTTGAGATGCAATCGGAAATTGCAGAAGACAGATGACTTACATTTCCAGCTCCTACATTTATGCAATATGGAAAATTCTTAGAACCTGCACAAAATACTGCCGTGCAAGGCCAGTTATTGCAAAGCTTTAGTATTGCGATTCAAATAATAATTAACTCAGAAAGAGGAGTCCTTCCTTTTCACGAATCTCACAAATAAAACCCCATGGACATGGCCGGTTTCGGTAATGCCAAAGATAGTCTTAATTGGCCTCTATAAGATTTTATTCCTGACTGTAGTCTGGATCTTGGAAACTGGACGCCTGGGAATTTTGAGATAAAAAACTAAATGCGAGATGTGCACGTGAGGTTTGAAGTGGTATGATGGATTAATCATTGTACTTGTTAAGAAACCCTTACTCTTCTGAATAAAACAGGATACATTTCGTAATTTGATGTAGAGAAAGTGGAATTTTCGTATTCACTTACAGAACTAGTAAGATTATGCTGATCATTTTTTCCTAACTGAGAGAAATTTACAGACGGATATTTTGAGCTTAGGTTGGCAAGTGTCAGAATGCAGGGTTAATTTATATGCTACCTTAAACATGGATGCTGTGTCAAATACATTGCCTCTGCTGAGATATCTTGCGTATATTTGGAGCATTCAAAATTACTTTCGTTTGATGCTAGTTTTTTGCTGTAGTATCTTTTTATAACGGGGGACTAGGAGACATACCTTCTGCTGTAAATTGTGCTCTATATGTAGAGAATTAATGCTTGGATATGCTAGGAAATTAGTTATTGCGTTTCGGTAATGCCAAATACTCGTTGCAATATCACAGCTTAATACGTCCAAAACTACAGATTTTTGTTGCAACAACTTCTACTGATGGGAAATGCAGAGTGTTCTCCACCTTTATAAAAGGCGTTGATACAAAGTACGCAACTTTCTGTTAGTTGATTTTCTTTGTTTATCATCCAAGGGAATAAGGATTCATCTAATGTGTTTTATGTGATTTTGGGCAGGGACTCCAAATCAAGCTCCTCATCAGATTCTAAATTTGGAGAGGTTTGATTTCTGATCCTCCCTTTTTATGACATTGACACTTGCCATATTTTGTATGAGCTTACTGAAATTGAAAGAAGTGCGATGCAATAACTTAAAACTGCCTTTTCCAATCTGCTGCAACTTGTGTTGGTCTGAAATTCTGCTGTGTTCTTGTTTGGCAAGTAGTAAGTTCTATTATAACTCTTATGCCAAGGATCACAGAGATTTATTAATTCCACATTCATTCTGGCTGATGGATTAAATAGGGAAGTTATGAGAATTGGTGTGTCTTCCTTAGGATTTAATTGATGGCCATTGTATCCAGAACTGATTTGGTGCCTCTTTAATTGGGAAGGGATGTGTAACTTGCTTCTTGAAGAACATAACACACACTAACTTTGTTATTAGCAAGGCTGCTCTAGGTAGAGAATTAACTGCTTGGTACTGTTTTTTCCTTTGTGAGGATTCAGATATTTGATCATCACCTATATTAACCTAGGTAGATAGATTTTTAACCCCTGATGTTGCTGCTGCTGCTTGAGGTTTAAATATTAATAAATCTTTCAAGTATGGATTTTCAATATTATGCTATATTTGTCCATATTATCTGGTTAAAGTTTTCGTTAGATTTACTTGTTTTTCATTTCAACAATTTTCTGTTTTGATGATTTTGAATGACGTTTTGCTTTGCCCTGTCCTCGCTTGTACGTTTCTGACAGCAAATTGTCCAGCTTGACCTCTCAATCTCTTGGGCATTTGGTGTAAAGTGGTCACCTAGTGGAAAAACCTTGGCTTACGTAGGTAAGAATTATTTTTCACTTGTTTGAGATTGAATCTGCTATGAACAATTGTTGTTATGATATCTGAGATTAAGTCATTAGCATTGAAACAATCAAAATTGGTAATCCTGTATCCATTTATGCACTCTTTTACAGGTCATAATTCTATGATTTACTTTGTGGATGATGTTGGTCCAGCTCCGTTGGCTCAAAATGTTGCACTTCGTGATCTACCACTTCGTGATGTGGGTCAGCATCCACCATTATTAGACTTTTTAGAATCCTCATTGTTTCTTGAATGGCAATTTGATAAAAACACTTGTTTTATTGATTCCTGGGGTTCACAAGTTATATTGATTGATTTCAGGTGTTATTTATTTCTGAGAAAATGGTGATAGGCGTGGGCTTTGACTGCAATCCCATGGTTTTTGCGCCAGATGATAGAGGAATGTGGTACGCATAACTATTCTTAGGAAAACGAAACGCTGGAGTGGAATGTTCCAAAGATAGACTACTATACGTAGCCATTTTCCAAGTTCCCCCTAATTTTTATTTGCTCTTTTGGTACTTGTAGGACGTTTATTCGGTTTCTCGATGAGAAGAAACCAACATTAGCAAGCCCAAAATATGGTTCTCAGGTCAGTGCATTATTGTTTTTTCTTCTTCTGGTAAATTTAATCTAAGGATTCAGTATGCTTGGTTTCCAAATTTGTTTCAGGTCCGAACTGCAATGGTCCATTAAGGCTTTTGATTAAGATCATGTTATTGTTTGTTTTACGTCTTGCACCAGTTTTCTGAAGCTTTGGGAAAATTTTATGCACAATCAAAGTATGGTGCAAGCAACAACGATGGCAACAGCCCTTCGAAATCGCGTGGAGGTGCTCATGAGAACTGCATAACGTAGGGTTTTGCTTTGGTCATGCTTCCTGTATTTACCTGTTGTCTGTCTGGCTAGTAGGCCACTGGTATCGGCTGCGTTGGTATTCTCATTAGAGGTGGTCTCCCCAATAACCTCCCTATTTTTGCTTCGACTGTAGATGCATCATGCCTCTTGCTGGTAAATCGCGAATAACACGCTTCAGCACTTCAGGTTTGTGTTTATTTTGTCCTTTGTGAAATAGAAACTTTTTTTTTTTCAAACTTGGAATGCTTATGGTCCCTTCTTAAAAAGAACAGAATTGATGGGATATGAGATATTTCATTTACAAGCTGAAACAAACATCGAAGCTTCACTAATCGGGACGTGATCCATTGTCCCAGAGCTTGGATTCATGTGTACACTTTGGTCAACGACGGCACATAAACATTTATCTTGGTTTGCCTTGCAGGATTAGACGGGAGAGTAGTGGTCTGGGATTTGGAGAAGCAGGAAGATTTGTTGCATACCTTGTGAGCTCAGCTCTCCTTAATCAAGAAGCATGCTTGAGCAAGTGGCTTGACACAGAGATGTATGTTGTTTGTATATCTGTTTGATCTGGAGTATGTTTATGTTTTAACTGATTATTATTCGAGTTGGGTGAGACCCTCTAACTAAATAAGACAATCGTTAGTCATCTTCTTATGCCTCTATTCCGTTTAGTTTGAAAGGTCCTTAATAGAATCAACGTACTCCACACAAAAACAGAACTGACAACAGTGACAAAGTATCTTCCAAAGCTAGCGACTAATCAGGGAGGGGAACATATACCCTGGGGGCCAAAAAGGGAGGATCTTGGTCCAATGATGTTTCCGAGCAGGGCGATACACTAGCCAGCTACTTTAATCTTGTGGCAAAGGTCTATACTCCCTAAAAACTCTGACAATCTCGGAGTAGGGTTTTGTAACTACTTATGGGCGTGAACGGGTGGACAATTTAGATATCCTATATGAAAAAACTTATGCTTCCTTGTATGATTCAAGAGGAGGGATGACTATGCGAATGCAGTGCAAGGAGGACCATTGATATTGGCCGACACATGCTTAGCGTACATCTTAGTGGTTTAAGGGTTTTAACGATGCAAGACAGCAACAAAAAGCATCTTGCTTGGTTTAGTTGCTAGAACTTGCCATCGAGTTGTATAATATGGAAACATATTGCTTCTCTAATCAGGTGCTTGTACTAATTTCACGGGGGGATATGCTGAAGTGGATCTAACTAGGCCATTATTATACTAGTATAAGGTAGAAAGAATTGAATCGATATGAGGGGTATGAAGAAGATATGATCTACATGCTAAAAATATGAGACCTCGAAGCAGAGTTGCTCATGTTAAGTTGTACAACAGGAACCATCGTGGACTCAATGAGACCTTGCAACTGGGAGGGTTTATGGAGAATGAATGATTTGAAAGAAAAGGGCGAGGAGGCTGGCACAATGGATAAATTCATATGATACTCATGGAGTTGGGTTGATTGTGCGTAGGCAACTATTCAGGAGGAAACTAACACATTCGATTTACATATTTGCAGAAGGAGGAGAATGGGGAGGGATCCACTTCTAGCACCATACAAAAGATGAGTTATGATAAAGCCTTTGAGCATTTAGGGAAGGGTGTGTCAAAGAACCAAACCACCACTTATGCTAATGGGGTTGTGCCCACACGAGGGTACCAAGAAAAGGCCACTTAGACTGTGCTTGTGAAAGAAAGTACTGTGGTCATGAAAAATAGAGAGCACCATCATAAACGTGAACAACATGCACATGCAAAGAAGTGGAAAGGGGAAATACAAAGAAGATATGGAGGAAATATGATAGAAACAAAGTTCTTATCGGGTTTGATAATTGCGGATTAGGGTTTATACGAACATAATTAGGGATTAAGATTGAAGTTTGGGAAGAAAGAAAAGAAGAATCGGCCTAGGCCTTAGAGGGATCGAGAACGGGAATTGAGAGGATATTGATATTAAGGGTTGAAAGACTTTTCTTAATATTCTTCTTATTGATTCAATAGACGAATAACACCGTACATATATAGGAAAAGAACTGGAAAACCTTAACACTAAAAGACCACTAATCTTAATAATAATAAACATAATATTATAATAATAGAAACCTGGTAGAAATCGGTTTCTATCATCCCCTCCCCCCTTCAGACCAACCTTGCCTCAAGGTTGACCGATTGAACTATTTCTCCATGTTTCTCGTGCCACCCGCACGTCGGTCCTTCATTTCCTTGTGCTTCATTTTATTCCACTTTCGCTCAAACCCTTGGGCAAACTTCCCAGAACACGCAACTTCATCGTGCTCCAACTCATCAACACGAACCATATACTTCCATACACCAACAACTATTACACTTGTCGTATTCGTTGTAGAAGCATCCCACATTTCCCAGTTGTATCATTGACTTCACCCACAAAAGAAGACACCTTCTTTTCCCTACTCTTTCTATACTTCTCCAGGGGACTTGCTGCTTCTTCTAAGGATATGCAGACCAATATCTGATTCCCTGTTTAGCTTGCGTCTGCTTGTGTCACAAATTTCTCTATTAGACCCGTCATGCCTTTCATTAACCCCGCCCCACAGCCACTCTCACACAACACAAGGCTGGAACTATTTGTCGGGTCGGGTCTTCATCATTGAAGCTAGACCTGAGTCGAGAGTCCGATCCAACTCTTTGACGCTTTCCCGCTTCCCTTCAATCTTCGGCCCAATCTGCTTGTTTGTCTGGCCTAGGAAAATCCCACCCTGCATACTCGAAATAAGCCCCCAGGACAGAAGACTCTTGTGGCACGTTGTCCATTGGCTCATCCTTTCCTCTCCGATGTGGCCTGCCAATTTCCAACATTTCCATTCCAAAACTCGAAACCCCCAAGGTCTAAGACTCAGACCCACTAATTTTGCACGGTTGCACTTCACAACAGGGAGCGAAAAGAAAAGAGACGAGATGCCGCCTCGCCTCCTTCCTTCTCAACTTCAACCGCCGGATGTGCCATCTTCCTCTCCATCCCCGATGATGCTTCCTTTGTCGTCTCTAGCTACCTCCGGTTTTCAGTATGACATCTCGACACTCATGGACATGCAAGAAGATTCTCTCATGGTGGCCTGTGGTTGTTGTGCGGCAGCGGCGCTACTCAACGCGAAGAACCAAGGGAGTGCAACACCGCGCACACTCCCTCTCCAGAGACGACCAGCTTCCCCGGGGCCAAGGAGGCCAGTCCCACTTTGCCATCCTCTTCGACTTCGAGTCAAACGCTTCCACGCCCTTCTCCTTCCATCTCTCCTCAGTAAGCGCGCCACACGGTCTCTGGGCCCCGACACTCTCTTCTTTTTTCCTTCCTCTAGCAACTTGGCACAAGCCTTTGTTGTTTGGTGGTGGCGAGGGTTCCAGCCGACGTCTGCGAGACAGGCAGCCTCGCGGAGGTCATCAGAAAAGCTGCTGGTTACCGCAGCTGTTGGCGGCCGGATCTTCTTCTCCAACAACCATTGGAATAAGTACGGAGTTGATCGATTACGGATGCCGGTGGTGGTGGTTTAGATATGCATTACGAATGTGGTAGTGTATGAAAATGAAAAACTGAGAGAGATTTTGGATAGTAAAGATGGCGAATGTGGTTTCAAATGGTGGCCAATAGGAAGGTTTGTGTATCTGGTGGCCAATAGGGTTGTGTATCTCTTCCTCCCTTCATCATGTGGACATAAAGAATACATAAGATAAGAGGATATCAGAGTGTGGTTTCTTAGGGATATATGGGTGGCTTGAAACATGAGATAATGGTCATATTCTGGGACCTCCTTTGTACTCTATGCCAAAAATTGAATGGGGGCATGGCTACTTGGAAGTGATTTTAACCAGGTAGTATTTGTTTGGCAAAAAGGTGGGCGTAGAGCATAGGAGGCAGAAATGACTAATTTCGGTGACTGCTTAAAGGAATGCGGCTTATAGGTTGTGGGTTGCAACGGGAGGCATGTTGGATTCATTGAAGAATGACCTGACCATTTGTGGCCTATGAATAATGGTTAGAGATGTGTGAGAATGCTAGGATCCTTTATCTCAATTGGGATAAATTGGATCACATTCCAATTACTTGTGATACTCGTGGTGAGGAGGATGTGGTGATAAAATGGGATTGGGCATTTTTATTCGAGCACTATTGCCCTAAAATAAATTGACCACAGAAGGACTTGGGAGCTAATTGGGTCTCGCTGATATTCTTTCATAAATATTGGGAAATTATTAGTGGTGATATAACAACAACGGTCTTGGGGATTCTAAAGAGGGGGTGATGCTTGCTGAGCTCATTCATAATTTGGTCACTCTATTTCCTAATTTGAAATTCCAAAATCTTCAAAAAGTTCTGTCTAATAGATTGAATAAGGTCCTTTATAAAATGGTGGCGACGGTACTCGTGAATTGCATTAATGTACTCTTGGATAAGGTAATTTCCCTAGAGCAAAGTGTCCCCCCATAAGGTTCATACTCGATAAAATTAATGTTTCATTTGAAAGCTTCCACTCGATGAAGAAAAAAGAAGAAAGGAAGACTAGATTTCTTTGCTCGAAAAATTGATTTGACAAAGGTGTATCATCAGTGTACTACGCTAATCATGATGTGTGTCAATTTGGTCTCATTCTTTGTCATAATAAAAAACCACCAGTGAATAAAACATGTACATTTTTACGTTTTAGGTTTATCAAAATGCATATGTTCCTACTTAATAGCATTTAGTGTGCAAAAGTGTGGTCAAAAGCAGTAAAATGGTCAGAATCACAAAAAAAAAAAAAAAGCGTTTAGCTTCGCTTTTGCATGTTTCTGTTCAAGGACCAAAATGAAAAAAATGAAACCAAAACACTTCTTCATTCAATGGCCCATCCTTAGCCACAGTTACTAATGACTATGACCTTTCTCGATGAGAGATGATTGTCGGTTGTTGCGCACCGCGAAAGAAGAAATCGACACGTCTGGCTTGGCCATAAAAATTATAGTATTCCTCTTGGGTCTAGGCAATATTCTTCCAAAAATAACTCCATGCTTCTTTCCATCAATTCTTGTTGCTCTTTAGTTCAATAAATAATCCCTAGGCGCGACAAATTTTCTTTTGCTGACGGCCTGCTCATGAAACCAGCGGCGGATCCAGGGGCCGCCCCCGAGCCACGACCCAGCCCTTCCCTGGATCCAGAGCTAGTAAAGACCTTGTAAATTTTCGATTTTTGGTGTTAGCTTCGGTGCTCGTCGGGTTACGGCCCAGTCCTCTCCACCTCTTTTCAAATGTGGCCCAGTGCTCTATCCTATCCTGGATCCGCCGCTGCATAAAACGACAGTCTAATCTTAAAATGCTTATTCAACAAAGTCTATTTCTAAAATTCGTGTTTACAACCCTTTCCCCTTTAAATGGTCAAGTGTGGGGGAATTCATACCAACATAGTTATATATATATTTCAAACCTCATTTATTGATCGTTTAGCTTGGTTAGGATTGTTCCTTCGCCTATTGTACGCTAGGTCGTGCTTCTTTTGTGATATTTCAGATCCTAGTATATGATTATGGGATAGGAAGGATTTATGGGACATTTGGAGGAAAAATCAAGACAACGAAAGCAGAAGAAAAAATCTCACGTCCCAGGTGCAAAAGTCACGGTCATGGTCATGACATTCAACAAGAGCCCATGACATTTAATAAACATCCATGTTGATTTTCTATGTCACGGTTTGGCTTCACAAGTCACGACCATGGTCATGACATTCAACATCCATCCTGTGAAGTCCGACCAAGTTCCAAGGAGATTTTTTATGTCACAGTAGGTCATTCACCAGTCACGGCCATGATCGTGAGTCGTGACATAATATCCTGCCCATGACATAAGCAACTCCACTCGATGCCATGGCTGTGGCATTTGACCGTGAGTTGGGAAACCATGGGATAAGTGGATTTTGAAGAGCAATTGCAAAGGGGATCGAGATTTAGATTAAATAACTTGTTGAGAAGATCTTGGAGAGAGAAGTGATGAAGAACTCATCCTTGGAGCTTCCTAGGGCCATCCAACTACCATTGGAGCTCAACCCAAGCACCAAGGAGTGACAAACAAAGAACAGAAGGGGATTTCCTACATCTACAAGATGATGACAGTCAAATTTCTTATATTTTCCTTCATCTCTATGTTGTATTCTCTTTCACTTGGGTGTGAGGTCCCATTGTTCCATGTGTTATATTGATTGTTGTTTGAACCCTATGATTGGTGAACTCTTTGCTATTTATCTTCATGATTCATATTCAAGAATCACATGAGTCTTGATCACACTTTTTCAATTGTGTTTTGACCTAGTATAGAGAATACCCGATTAGGTCTGATAAATTTAATAACGCGGAAGTATAAATTGCACCAAACACAACGATATACGTGGTTCGTCCTTGCAGTGTGCAAGGCTTACTCCACGGGAGAAAACTCCAGTCAATTATATTGTGCTTTCTTAAGGGACACAAGCATCGGCGCTAGCAATATATATTGCAGCCGCTAGGTTTACGTCCAACCATTTCATGGACTTATCATGGACAAATTACATAATAGTCATCAAGAAAAGGAAACATGTACAAAACGGTACATGTATATATATATATCTCAATACTCCCCCTCAAGCTGGAGCATGCAGATCGCGAATGCCCAGCTTGGAAAGTAAGAAGTGAAACTGATCAGCCCCCAATGCCTTAGTCAACAGATCGGCCAGTTGATCACTAGAAGAAATCTTGCACGGCCGGATATCACCGAAAAGAACGCGCTCACGAACGAAATAACAATCCATTTCCACGTGCTTCGTGCGCTCATGAAACACTGGATTTTCTGCAATATGAAGAGCAACTTGATTGTCACAGTACAAGGTAGTAGGAGCAGTCTGCGGACAACCAAGTTCGCGAAGCAGCCAACGAAGCCAAATAAGCTCACTCACGGTACTAGCCATGGCTCTATACTCGGCCTCAGCAGAAGAACAAGAGACAACCTGTTGCTTCTTAGCACGCCAAGAAACCGGAGCCAATCCCAACTTAATAAAATAGCCAGTAGTGGAGCGACGAGTGCTCTCACAACCATCCCAATCAGCATCACAGTAAGCAGTAAGTGTCAAAGGTCCACATGCGGGAAAGAAAAGACCCTGTCCAGGTGAACTCTTGAGATAACGCAAAACTCTGTGAGCAGCCGAAACATGAGCTGGTGTAGGTGCATGAACAAATTGACTCAAAACGTTGATTGTGTAAGCAATGTCGGGCCTTGTAGCAGTAAGATATAGCAGACGGCCTACCAAGCGTCGATAGGAACCAGGGTCAGGTGCAGCCTCTGCCGACGGAAGAGTGAGGTGGTGGTTCTGTTCAAGAGGGAACCTAACTGGACGAGAGCCTTGAACCCTTGCCTCCTCAAGAATATCCAACGTATATTTACGCTGACTAAGGGCAATACCCTCAGAAGAACGAGCAACTTCGATACCGAGGAAGTATTTGAGAGGTCCCAAATCTTTGATGGTGAAGCGATCATGTAGAAACCGCTTAACTCCAGTGATGAAACCCATATGGTTACCAGCTAGAATAACATCATCAGCATATATGAGCACGACCACAAAAATCTGACCTCAACGGAACACGAACAACGAGTGATCAGCAGGTGATAAAACAAACCCAAGCTCAAGCAATGCATTGGTGAACTTAGTATACCAATTCCTGGAAGCCTGCTTTAAACCATATAACGACTTTCGAAGTCTACAAACACGAGAATCACCAGCGCGAGCGAATCCTTCTGGAACCCGCATATAGACTTCTTCAGTGAGATCACCATGAAGGAAGGCGTTGTTAACGTCGAGCTGATGAAGAAACCACCCTTTAGAAGCCGCAACTGCAATTACGAGTCGAACAATCACTAGTTTTGCAACAGGGGCAAAGGTGTCATGGAAGTCCACCCCTTCCATTTGAGTATATCCTTTAGCCACCAGACGTGCCTTGTAATGTTCAATGCTACCATTGGGTTTATACTTAATTTTATAAACCCACTTACAATCAATGAGACGTTTTCCAGGAGGTAGATGTTCAAGTGTCCAAGTGCTTTTGGCGATTAAAGCAGAGATTTTGGCCATTATAGCCATCCTCCAATGCTCATACTGAACTGCCTGACAAAAATATCGTGGTTCAATTTCTTTGCTGATAGCGGCCAAGTAAGCCCGGTGGGAAGTAGTGAAGCGATCATAAGAGATATGAGCTGCCAACGGGTAGCGAACTGAATGAGCATTGGATCCACGTACTGATGGCAAATCAACATCATACCCAATCAAGCGCTTTGAAACCTGACGCTCTCGATCACTGCGTCGAGGAGCAGGTGCTGGAACTATGGCAGGAAGCATACTAGCAGGAGGTGAGGAGGCCACTGAAATGGGGGACTTAGCTCCTGTGTCCGTTGCATCAAGGGAAGCTGGGGAATCGGGAGATGAAGAATCCTCCACTGGTGAAGATGGGTGAGCTGGAGCAATGTCGTGGGATGCATGAAGTTCATGCACGTTGTCACTTGCATTGGTGGGCAAATTAATAGTGGCTTCATATGGAAGTAATGACGAGGAGCCAAAAGAAGGAGTTTTGCTCGTCCCTGGTACCTTGTGGAAGGGAAATACTTCTTCAATGAAGAGAACGTCATGAGAAGTGACAATTTTATGAGTAGAAAAATCGTATACTCTATACCCTTTTTGCGTTGCAGG